GTTGGAGCAGGATCGAGCATTGTTTAGGGCTGTTGTGCATGGGGTCGCTGTGAGTCGCAAACGACTTGATGGCACATAGCAAAAACAACAACAACAATAACAACATATTTTTATCACGGATTAAAAATTTCCAAAACTCCTAATAGTATGTTTCTAGTTATTACATGAAATTCTTGTTATAATAACAATGATTTCTAGTTCTAGTGAGTTCCATTGTTCTTTGTTAAGGAGCTGCACTGCCAGCTCCAAGGAAGCTGGAATCCACCAGCTGCTCCATGGAAAAAGATGAGCAATGAATTCCCATGCAATTTACATAAACTGCCCCCGACAAGGGGCAGGTAGGAAATGGTTTCAACTCAACAGCATGTGACAATAATGTAGCTCTAGTGATATGGTCTGTAGGGGGCTGTACGACTAATGCAAAGGTCACACCTATATGCTGTTTTGAATCTACTGTGGCTCCACAGAAGAAAGATATAAATCTTCTCGAGTCCTGGAAACCCAAGAGAGCGTTAGCTATGAGTTGGTTTCAACTCAATGGTAATTAGTTGCTGCTGTTGTTTTAATGTATGTAACTTAAAAAAATAAAAGTAAGATATGACAACCAAATTAGGCATATGTGAAATCTCATACTTACCTGACATTGCCTTTGGTGTTTCTAAGAACTGTAGCAGCAAAATTCTGTGTAACACCCACCAAGCTGATTCCATCTACTTCCACAATCTGGTCATTGACCTGTATTCTTTGGGAGAGGGGGGGAAAGTAATTCAGTCAATTATTCTGATATATTATTCTCAATTTTAACATTGATTAAATATTGCATTTTTAAGATATTTTGTTTATTTGTTGATACAGTGGGCAAGTATTGGGTTGAAAACCAAGAGATTGAATAGTTTGACTCTAAGAGCCACTCATGGCAGAAGGATGACTCTTATAACGTTTTACAGCTATGAAATCCTATAAAGCAGTTCTACTCTGACATACAGGATCAACATAAATTGGAATTGCCTCAATGGTAGTGGAATGGTATTTTTATTTATGAAATTTATCTTGTATACAAGTTCCAGATCTTAGTTATTTGCATTATGTTTTTAAAAGGTGACTGTGAACAATAAAAGCAATAGTAAAGGGAGCGATTCAGTTTACCAAATTCATTATTTTCTCACAAGAACTTGATAGTTGTAAATGTATTTCATGTACTATATCTATTTTGTTCATTGAAACATTGAAATCTACTTAAGACACCTACTGGTCTAAATTTCCTGTCCTTTAACCTGCTTCTTATTTGCAGAGAGTATCCTCGGCCAGAACTGCAGGAAAGTCTTTTCTAGTCAAGTTGTAATGAGCCTTACTGGTCGCACAGTGCACAACATATCAGGCTGGAAACCAAAAAGTTAGTGCTACAAATCCACCAGGTACTTTGTGTGAAGAAGATAGGCAGTCTCGTCCAACAAAAATCTACAGCCTAGAAACTCAAATGGACCACTGCTATGAATGTATTACTTTGAATGTAGAGGGTTTGGTTTTGTTTTCTTTAACACTCAAATTGTATAGTTTAAATATGTAATGTTTATAAATACTATATATAAAATATATATTATAGCGATATATATATTTATGTATATATAAAAATTTATTCAGAGTCATTGTTATTCATGAAATCTAGTAATATTAAAAATTTAAGGTACACATAATCATTCATAATAACAAAGAAGTGCTATACAGCAACACACATAAAAATTATTACTATACTGTTATTTTAAAGATATTTTCATGTCCCTGAAAATATTTCTTCAACATATTTTTTACAAATAAAGAGGTCTACATGTGTTTGATGTGTAGGTTTTCTCTGTCCCCGGGAGCAAGGCAGGCTAGACTTGGCCTAGGGTTTGAGCCAGGAGGCGGCCTTAAGGCCAAAGGCAGTTGGGAGAGGTGCGGCCATATTCTTCCTAGTTGGCTCCTCCCAGGGTCTGGGGAACTTCTCCTTGCCAGAAGGAGCATGGTGGTGTGAGCTCAGGAATCATGGCAAGCTCTTGGAGTTGCGTGCTTTCCCGGGCATGGGTTTGATGTGCAGGTTTGCTCTGTCCCCTGTCAAACATTCTTCTAGGTGGTATAGCACTGATCTGTGCATTGCTGTACAGAGGTAACTCGTGGTTGCTGTGAAGCTGAAGACTGTGAAAATGATGTGTCAATCATGGTAATGGGTTCCCATGGTGGACAGTGTTGGCTGGAGCTTCCCGACTAAAACAAGCCTGGAAGCAGGAGCGGCATCCACTTCTGAAATGGCTTGCCTCCGGAAACTCTATGTACAAACAGTGCTCAGGCCCTTCGTTCATAGGGTTGTTATGAGTCCTCTACGACTCGACACCAGCAAACAACAACAAACAAACAACTATCTACTAAATATTAAGACAAATATTTGACTAACTGATGTTAGATATAAACTGAACTTCCAATTTAGGTACAAATTTGACTTAGAGATAGATTTAGGATGGAATTAATTCGTAATCTAGGAAATCCTTGTATTAAAATGGAATTCAAATATCCACAAATTACATTATATCCTATTTCACAGATTGTGTCAGGATGTTCGGTGATGCATGGACAAATATTATAAATAGTTATAGACAGATAGATACATGTAAACATCTTTAAGAAATACCGACTTAAGGAAGATATTTAATATTAATGTTACATAATACATAAGACTTTCAAACTCATATACACTGTGATTTATATGTGCTAATTTTATTCTTCATAGTGAAGTATTTAAGATACAGAGAAATGTAAAAAGTAAGATAATAAGCACTCCTGTACCAACTGTATGAAATATAACACTGTGAAATATTTAGATTTTTTTCTGAAAGACATACTTTATAGGAAACCTAAAGTTCTTTCTTATTTATCTCTAATCCTGTTGGCTTAGTGCTAAGAAGTTGAGCTGTCAACCCAAGCATCTGAAGGCAAGAGTATCTGAGAAAGTAGATATTTTAAGGAAAGGTGAATGTTTACAAATGAGTAAGAGTGGCTGAATATTGACTATAAATTTTAAAATCAATCATAGAAACTAAAATGAACAAAGTTTTAAAAATTAAGTAAAATAAAAGAAAAATAAAAAGTTTCAGAGTACCAACAGAATTATCAATTATAAAAGAAAAACACAGTGAAGAGTTTTACAGTATGTAAAAACAAAATTTCAAGCTAGGTCAAATAAATTTTCAGTAATAGACATAATTGTACAAAATTCTGTATAGAGTATGAGGTGAAACAGTGAAATGTAAGGAACATTTCTAAGTAATCTATCCAGGAAAGAAAAGATAGCAAAAGTATTGGGGGGAAAAGTATGTAGAAGCTTTGACTGAATCAGCCAATAATTTAGCAAGAGTGACTCAAATTTGACTATATTCAAAGGACAAAAGAGAGTTTGGGGTTATATGTTTGAAAGAGATATAGTCCTTGGCTTATAAAAACATAAACACAAATATACATACATATTTAAAGATCTATCTATATTCATATGCAATGATTTCTGCATTCATTGGACAGACTGGGTTATGGCAATGTGTTAAGACTACAGAAAACATTACACGACATGTATAAATGAAGGTCTGAATAAAGGGGTTAAGAGAAAAAAATGGAGTTATTAAACAGAGATTTGTACACCAATGTTCATAGCAGCATTATTTACCATCGCAAGAACATGGAAACAGCCCAAACATCCAACCACAAACGAATGGATTGAGAAATTATGGTACATTCACACAATAGAATACTATGCAGCATGCAGGAGCAATGAACTTTGGGAGCGACTGAAGAGCATTATACTGAGTGAACCAACTCAGTCCCACAAGAATAAATATTGTATAGAATCAATACTGTAGAATGAGTATAAGGATCCAAGAGGGATAGAAAAAGTTGGAAGCAGGGGGATGAGGATGTGCAGGGGGAGGGAGAGATTATTCATGGGGTTGTACAATTTGTTGGGTGGGGGGATGAGGGAAATTGAAATAATTTGTTCTTGAAAACAATGTATTTGAATTTTGTAAATAAACTAGTAGAAAATTAAAAAAAATTAAAATATACCATGGGGGAAACAAAGTGAGAATGGAGTTACTGACTTTGTAGTATAGATCAACGGAAACAAATTAAAAAATAAAAAGACTGACATAGTGAGATAAGGCAAATTCATAATGAAATCATATGTCTTTCCAGTTAAACCAAGAAAATCAACAGTTATTATGTATAATGTGTCTTCAAAAATGGTGTCATGTGACCCTCAAAAACCAAAGATTACCAACAATCACAATTAGTTGTTGTTGTTCTTAGGTGCCATAGAGTCGAGCACAACTCATAGTGACATTATGAACAAAAGATCTGAGCCCAGTCCTGTCCTGTGCCATCCTCACACTTCCTGACACACAAGAACCCATTGCAGCAGTCACCTTAGAAAAAGTTAAAAAAGCAATCATAAAAATTAAAGTCATGTGGAAACTTGCAAAAATGAACATGTGATTGCTAGAATTACAATAAATCCACCTGATAACTTCAGTAGATTATGTGCTCCATCTTTGGGTGCTGTGTACATTATGAAGGATAAAACAGAAATAAACAAAATGGGGGGGAAAGAATCCACAAAAAAAATCTGTGTGCATGGTAATAATCTAAGGCTATTGATAAAGTACTATAGGATATATCAGAAATCTAACTATGGGTCTCATCCTTAATGGGTTTGTCATGTATATAGAAATTTATCTTTAATATATATGATAGATAAAAAATAAACACAATAAACACAAATGCACAGCTACAATTAATAAGAATACAGAGACTAGGAGTTTATTTACCATAAACTAGTAAGAGTCAAGAAGTTTCATTAAGGAATTATGTCCTAAATATAAACTTGATATAACAAAATGTTAGAAGAAATATGATTCTGTATAGGGTAAAGAGAAAGATTATATTTTAAAAAATAAAACTTGACCTTCCAGCAACAAAAACTAAGTCACAAAACAGATACACTGGGAATCCCACCAATTATTTACAGAAGAAATTATATCAATCCTTAAACTCTCCTTTTAAAAAAAACAGAATACTTCATGATTCACACTCTGAGGCTAGTTAACATTAGTTAACATGTGGTTAAAAATCCAGATAAAAACACACACCACAAAATCCCTATAGATTAATATCTTTTATAAGTATATGCAAAACCCTTCTATAAAACAGTATCAATCCGAAGGATTATACACTATGGCAAAGTGGAATTTACCACAAGAAAGCAAGGCTCTTTCTCTCAAGAATAGACTTCTTGAAAAGTTATGCTGAGTCAAATAGATTTCCACACATATGAATCTGAACCCAAACTTCACACTCTATACAAATTTTAACACAAACAACTTAAACATAAGAACTAAAACTATAAGACTCTTAGAAGAAAATATAGAGGTAATGCTTCAAAACTTAGATTGGATTCTTGAAAACGACAGCAAAATCAAGAGCAAGAGAAAATAAAACAAATGAGCTGCATTTCATCAGAATTCAAAACTATTGTGGATCAAAGAACTTTATCCACAAAATGAAACAAAAAACAAATCCTTCAAAAAATAAACCAAAGGCTCAAATATATATATTTTTTAGCCAAAGAAGATATAAAATTGGTCAAAAACAGGCATATGAAAAGATGCTCTACTGCAGTGGTATCTAGAAGAAAGTTCAAATCAATGCCACAATTACATACAACTTTACATCTACCCAGAAGGTTATAAAAAGGAAAAAAAAAGGAAAACAATTGGTGGCAAGCATGTGAAGAAATTAAAATTCTCATGCAGTGTTGAAGAAGTTTTAAAATGATATAGCTGCTATGGAAAACAAGTTGACACAAAATTAACTATTGAATTACCATATGGTCATTCACTGCAGCATCATTCACAACCACTAAAACAAGGAAGCAACTTGAATTCCTATAACAAATAAATGAGGGTGAGATATAGCCAATTAATGAGATACACTGCTAAGCCATAATGAAAAATGAAGTTCTGATTCCTGCTGCAATATGTATAAGCCTTAAAACATTATGATGAATAAGGAAAAGAGATACAATAGGACAAATAATAAAATAATCCATTCCTAGGAACTATCTAGCGCTGGCAAATACACGAAAAACAAAGCTTACATAGAGATGTAATGGAGAAAAATGTGGTTACTGCTCAGGGAGTACTAAGTTTCTGTTTTGGATAATTAAAAAACACTGAAAATGCCTAGTGGTAATGGTTCTACAATATGGTGAATGTAATCAATGCCAACAAATTATACACAGAGCATAGCAAAATATATGAGAGATAAATACATAACCATAATAATCTAATATTAAATGTGAATAAAATAAAAAATTAAGTAAACTCTTCACATCATACCTTCTCAAAGTGCTTCTGTTGTTATGTCCTATTAAGTTGACTAGCACTCATAGTGACCCTGTGAACAGAACCAAACCTTTCCTTATCTCCTGTGCCACCCTCATGACTAAATATTTATATGAATAATACAGATTTTTCAAAACTTTTCCAGAATAACAAAGTAAATAGCCTGTTTTCCTCTACACATACTCTTCAGCAAAATGAATTTATGGGAATGAGGTTGGCTTAGTTTGAAAAGCTAGTTCTGGTTCCTCCATAATTTCTATGAGCTGTTCAGCTTCAGTTTGGGATTTAATCTAAACCCCAAAGCTTATGGGAGTAAAGCTAATTAAAATGTGTAAGTTGGACTATTCTAGGGCTTGTTTGACATTACTGTATAGTTATTTATTGACTCTAATTTTTCTAGGAAAGGAAAATAAAATAGAACTCTACCTCACAGGATTTATACAAACAAAGCAATCAAAGATGAATAAAAGGGAGCCAGCTGGAGCAACATTAATGAACTCTGGTCAAAATAAAGTCTTCCCCCAAAATGCTCGACCATGAAGTTTCAAGGACATATGAAAATAAGATAGCTCAACGCTTTAAAGGTTGCACAAACAAGCAAAATATGTGATTAGAAGAGAGGCAAGACAGTATTTGCACAAAGAAGAACCCGGTGATGAAGAATTTATGGCAGATGGACACAAGTGAAAAAGCAGCTTCAATTCAGGCTCTGCTAGGCTGGAGGGTACCTCAGAAGCTGGGGAAAGGTCTGTGGAATGGGAATTTTGCTGCTGGATAAGCAAAAAATAGGGCTGTCTTTCTACATGTTGGTGTCACCTAAAAAATAGCCTGAAACATGAATAACATCAAGCAAACAAGGCTAAACAATGTAGTGCCTTAATTTCAGAACAAGGAACTTTGGTGGCCTAGTGTTAAGAAGATGTACTGCCAACCCTAAGGCATGTGGTTCGAATCCACCAGCTGCTCTGCTGGGGAAAGATAGGTAATCTCCTCTCATGTAATTTAAAGCTTCTGAAAAACCTAGTGAAAGAGTAGTTAAGAGTCAATTCTCATTCCATGGCACACAGCAACAAATACGTCTCACAAGTTTTTCCATAAAACTGAAACATCTGACATATTTTTCCATAAAACTGAACAGGTAAACTCTAAACAGACAATGATATGTAAGAATATGATAAATCAAAGATATCCTCAGTGCATTTTATTGTTTAAGAATAAAGTATTTATATTGCCTGTTAGTTATTATCCATGTAATTTATTCTACTACCAGCTTTCTAAATTGTGGCATTACAGAACCAATATTAACGATATACAGAGGACTAAACAAATCAATATTTGTAAAGAGTCTTTTGTGAAATCTTAATATTTACAGCAAAAAAAAAGAGGTGAATATATTGAATATTATTTCACTAAAACTTTAGAATAAAAACAGAAGGTGGAAATGGCTATTACATCATTCAGTTAAATATTACCCTACGAAAAGTGAGTTACAACAGCAAGAAGGAGAAAGATGAAGAAAATGAAAATGTTAAACTATGTAAATGTGAAAAAATAACCAAAGCCCAAGTATTCAGTCATCTAGTAAGTACTAAATCAAAGGCCTTCGGTGAGGCAGACTGACATGGAGACTTCGGCACCAGGCTCAAGTGTATTGGAGATAATGACGGTACAGGATAGAGCAGGATTCAGGTCTGGATGAGTTGTACTTGACTTGATGGCACTTAACACCAACCCCGAAATTTAAACCACCATAAGAGAAAGCAGTTATGTGCTGTCAAGGGATTTTACAGCTGACCTTCGGATGGGTTTTTAGACACTGTAAATCACATGGGAGGAGACTGCCCATCTTTCTCCTGCAGAGCAGCTCATGGTTCCAAACGGCCTGTTTCTGGGTTGGCATTAAAATCTTTACCCTCTAGGTGATAAAAATTCTGACAAAAGAACATTTTACACTTAAAAACTCTTTCACTTAACCTAAATGACTCAAGAGAAAAATAATTATAACTAATTTTAAGATGTGCTCTCACTGTGGTGAGAGGTACATTCAGAAGAGGTAAAAAGAATATGGGTACAAGATGGAGGGAGGAAAGATTCTTTTATACATGTCAGTTTCTTTAACAGTCATTATTTACATTAATCCAGAGAGCTCTGGTGGCCAACTGGTGAGGAGCTGTGCTACCAAACCAGAGGGAAATGGTTCGAATCCATCAACTGCCCTGCAGGAGAAAGATAAGCAATCACCTCAAGAGCAATTAGATTACTGTCTCTGAAAACCCGCTGGGAGGTCAGCTATGAGTGGGTCCCAATTCAACAGGACCTAACAGCATTTACACTAATCCGGGAACCTTGGTGGTGGTGTGGACAAAGCAATAAGCTGCTAACTGAAACAATGGTAGTCCAAAGCCAACCAGGGACTCCATGGGAGGAAGATGAGATCGTTTGTAATTGGGAATGGCACTGGGAACCTTATGGGAGCAGCACTCTCTTTCCTATATGGTTATAATGAGTTAGATTTGACTCAGCGGTATTTTGATCTCTTATAAACATGCAATTTCTGTAGGGCTCTTAAATAACATATTATATATATATGTATATATATATGGCATTTTATAATGCTGTGTAGTACATATAGGGCATTACTACGTTTGCTTCAATACATGTTCTTAAACTACAAGTGCACAAGTCACTTGTACAACTTAAAAGTAGAAAATATCTGAACTTAAAAATAGGAGTAATTAAAGCATATAAGATAAATTGTAACCAATCTCTCTAAACTGCTCTGACACATATCTGATATGATCAGATAAAAGGTACATCTCTAAGGTGGTCCTGAAACATTAAGAACATTATAAATAATCCTTTCATCTCTAACAGATGCAACATTAGGCAAATGTATATCCTTCCCAGCATCATGTCCCTCTCCAAGAATAGCCCCTCCTAGCAACATATCAAAAGTATGTAAGGCAAATACCTCCAAAGAGCACTGCAGCTCACCCTCTCCAAGACATACCTGTTTGTTTTCTTGACCATCTATGAGATGTGCTTACAATGTAAATCCAAGATTAGAAAATGCCATTAAGTATTGCACTTCTTCTGTGCACTCCTTGAAAAGGTCCTGCTCTACACTATTGTAATTAATTCTGATCCTCCAGTTCTAAATGAGTGTCTTTTTATCTTATCAGTGTGTTTTGCAATGACTGCCTTGCAATTAACTAAATGAATTACTCCTAATAAACTTCAGCATTTCTTTATTCAGATTTAAAATTCATTCTAACAGGGCAGTTCTTGAAGAACAAGTGGCAAATCAGAGATTACACTGAAATAATTTTCTTATCTAGAAAGTTAAGCTACAGTCTAAAGAGTCTTACCTGCCCAAGATCAAATGGTAATGTATTGATTTCAGGTTTTGTCACTGAAAAGCACATATACATATCCCATGGAATAAAATGTGACAGGAACCAAAAAAGGCCATCAACTAAACTAAATGCTACTCACCACTCCTAGAAATTCTAATTCCACAGGTTTCAATTTCTCAAAAGAATTTGTTCTTTTACATAGAAGATATTTTCAGAAACACCAACTTGCTGATTTACCATCAATATAAAATTAGTGCTTCTATTTTTCATACTATCTCTGCAGTTTTCAAAAATACCAGAACTATCACGTTTTGCTATTTCTCATGTGAAACTATATGCTGATCTCCCTAGTACATTCATTCATCAACTCATGCTTCTGTCCACTTGCCAGGAACTACATGACTGAATAAAGGCAAAAGTGGACAGATACATATAGATTCACTGGTCCATCCACTCACATTGTAATAAATAACAAAGCAAGCAATTATTGTGTCTATGAATCACAAAGTGTTCATCATAACCAAAATAAACTCATATTCTGCTTAAAAAAATAAAAAAGTGATTATTGAAAGAAATTCTCCAGTTTCTAGGTTAATAACAACAGAAGTTAGCTTACCTGCCATCTCGCTGAGCAGCACCACCATCAGTCACTGTCTTAACAAATATCCCCAGCTTTTCAAGTCCAGCATCTGCTCCGACACCCATGCCAATAATACTGATACCAAGTCCATCCTCATCTATAAAAAGGAAAAAGACAATCTCAGGTTCACAGTAGTTCACTTTCATTTAACCATCAAGTGCTATTTATTGCTTATGAATTTTTGGTAATCTTTATGGATTATTGTTGTTGTTGTTAGGTGCCATCAAGTATGACTCATAGTGACCCTATGAACAAAAGATCTGAACCTTGTTCTATCCTGCACAATCCTCACGCTTCCTGATACACAAGAGCCCATTGCAGCAGTCACCGTGGCAATCTACCTGGCTTTCTTCTCCTTTGCCGACCCTTCACCCTTCGCAGAATCATGACCCGTCCCAAGGAATAGCCCCTCCAAGCAACATGCCCAAAGTAGGTGAGGCAAAGATTCCTCATTGTTACACCCCATTGTGCACCCAGCTGCACCCTCTCCAAGACATATCTATTTGTTCTCTTGGCTGTCCATGTGATGTTCAGTGCTCTTCTCCAACACCATAGCTCAAAGGCATCAATTATTTTCCTGTTGTCCTTATTCATTGTCCAGCTCTCAGATGCATAGCAAGTGATCACAAAGACCATGGCCTGAATCAGAAGCACCTTTGTCCTCAAACTGACATCATTACTCATCAATAACTTGAAGAGGTCCCTGACTGCAGATTTTCCCATTGCAATACATCTCCTTATTTCCTAACTGCTGGTACCAAGGGTGTTAATTGTGGATCCAAGTTAAGATGAAGCTGTTGACAGTTTCAGTCTCCTCTCCATCCATCATAATATTGCTTAATGGTCCTCTGATAAGAATCTGTTTTCTTGACATTGAGATCCATCCATACCAAAGGCTGTATTCCTTGCTCTTCTTCAAATGGTTCAAGTCCTCCTCACTTTCAGCAAGCAAGATCGTGTCATTTACATAATGCAGGTTATTGATGTGTCTCCCTCTAATCCTAATGCTACACTCCTCCCCTTAGAATGCAGCTTCTCGGATAATTTGCTGAGCATACAGATTGCAAGGTGGAAAGAGATAACAACCCTGGTACACTCCCTTTCCAATTCCAAACCATGCAGTGTCCCCCTGCTCTGTTAACACAACAGCCTCCTGGTCCAGGTATAGGTTCCTCTTGAGCACAATCAAGTGCTCTGGGATTCCCATTCTTCTCAATGTCAGCCACAACTTGTCATGATCCACACAGTCAAATGCCTCTGCATCATCAATAAAGCACAAACAGACATTCTTCTGGTATTCCTTACTTTCAGCCAGGATCCATGTGACATCAGTAATGATATCCCTGATGCCATGGCCTCTTCTAAATACTGCTTGAACTTCTGGCATTCCTATCTATATACTGTTCTAAACACTTAAATTGATAGAATTCTTCTTTTCCTATTGGACAAAAGGGATATTGAAGGAGATTCCAAAAAGGAAAACCTGAGTTTAGTTTCATATTTATTGATGCGCAGAGGGGAGACAGAGGGATCTGCTGGGCAGAACCGGAGGCCAGCCAATAGAGAAGTGACTGGCAGGAAAAGCTTTGCCCTGCCCACAGTTTTGCCATGCCTACAGGTTCAAAAGCCCCAAGGCTGAGCCAAGATCGTTCAGGCCTGAGGGCCAAGAAGAAAAAAACAATCTATACACCAGTTCTACAGGACACATCACCCTCCCCTCGGAGACATTACCACTAAACTTAAGAGACACTGGACACAGCATAAGAAATTCTCAGCAGTTGACGTGTTTAGAATCACAGAAGCCAAGAAAGCTGTCAGATCAAGGGTTAGACAACGGAAGATATAAGTGCTGAAGGGATTCAGTAGAAGTGAAGGGGTATCCTGGTGGAGGGTGGAGCTGGGAAATAAGTGGGTCAAGACACTGGGCCAAGGGCAGGGATAACACTGTAACTAATGGTTAACTCCACAATGAGAGATATATCTTTCCCTGCTCTATAAATTGCTTGTCTGTCAGATACTCCTCTAAATCTGAACATTCAGATTAAGACAGACTAGGAAGAAGGACTGGCCATCCACTTCTGAAATAGCAGCCCTCTGAAAACCCTGTGTACAACAGAACACACATAGACTAACAGA